AGGAAGGAAGTTAAGGGAGAAAGGGAGGGGAGGGATGAGGAGAAGGGAGGAAGGAAGGAATGAAGGAAGGAAGGAAGGAAGGAAGGAAAGAAGGAAGTTAAGGAAGAAAGGAAGTAAGTTAAGGGAGGGGAGGGAAGGAAGGAAGGAAGGAAGGAAGGAAGGAAGGATGGATGGATGGATGGATATAGACTATGCATTTCCAAGGTGCATTTACTACAACTGGCCCCTATGTATTTATTCATTCTATTTTTATTTTTATCCCACCCCATGAGTGGCAAGGCTTCCATTCCAGGTGGCAGACAAATCAAGAGGGAGAGGGAGCCAGAGATGATGCAATGTATAGAGCATTTGATACTTCTGCATTTTCTGGCATTCGGGGTGGGGGTGGGGGGTCTTGGCACAGATCCCCCCATGGTGACGGCAGTCCTACCGTACATAACAGCTCTGGCTGCGTTATGCATGTCAGTCAGGATTAGAGCCATTGGGTGGTAACTAATCTGTACCTGGGTTATGTATCCTTGAATCCTTTCAAGGAGAAAGGCAGGGTAAAAAACATTTAAAATAAATAAATAATTTTCAAATAAAATCAGCTAATCCTTCAACAGCAGCTGTTTCCTTGTGTTTTCGAAAAAGCAGAACTTCCGAGTCTTCTGCGGTGGGTGGGTGTTTGTATGTGCGGGGGAGTGATGGTTACGCATTAAAGCACATTTATGAAATATGAATTCTTTTGCAGATTTTTTTCTTAACAGACCACCGCTCATCCAACTTTGCCTACCCATTTGCCAACGCTATTATTACTCTTTAAAAACCTCAAATGGCAAATGGCTTTGTTAGTTACCCACCTTCAGCATGATCACACTTAACCGTCCCTTGTCAGTTTCTAAATTACGTCCCTCTTGGGGTCGGATTTCAGACATATGTGACGCAGGCAACAAAAAAATAACTCATTTCTCAGCCCGATCTTCTGTGTTTCCCATTGCACCAAACATGCATGTTGGCTCTGGGCCTTCCCCGGACATTCCCACCAAAAAAACAGCCGTTCCTATGCTATTTAAATTGCTGCCTAAATTATAATGCCACTTCCATTAGACATGGGGTGGGTGGGGGAACCAGATCTTCGTCTTGAGACCTGGTCAACAGTTGTTGAAATTTCACTAAGCAAGAACACCCCTAAGGAGGAAATATCCCTGGAATGAAAAGCCATAGTTATTTCAAAACTAACTGGTTTTACAAGGAAGGGAATATGTAATAAGGAGTTTGAAATGGTAATTTCCTAACATGATGTACTTGATTGAGATCCAGGGCCTACCATGTGAATATATAGTCACTCATCCAACTTTAAAAAAAATGAATTCCAGCATTTGTTTGTTGTTTATTGTGCTGTTCCTACCCAATATTTCTATCACAGGCCTCCCTGGTACTACTCAGAGAAAAGTTACATTCTAAAAATAAAGAACAGTAGGAACAAATTTACTGGTATAACAAATGCCGCTCTGCGCTTATTTTTAAACGTTAGTTTTAAAGGGCATTCCGAGGCATTTTTAGAAGCATTTTGACGAGGAATTTTTCAAGTTGTATCTCTCTGTCGTCAGTTCTAAGTGGCACAATGATTTTTTAATGCCCTTTTGTAAGTATTCTGAAGTATTTTCAAAAGGTAATATCAGAACCGGCCACTAGAGGGAACAAAAAAGTATTACAGAACAACCTCGTATCCATGAGGAAGTGGTTTCAAGCCCCCCCCCCCAGAAATGCTGAAAAATGCGGATTACAATAAATGCTATTTTAATAGCTAACATTATATATTATATAGCATGGTCTCTGGCTCCCTCTAGTGGCCAGTTGAAGTAGAGACATGGTGAAAACATATTTCTCTAGCAAACACTATACGGTGGTGCCTTGCAAGACGAATGCCTCGCATGACAAAAACCCACAAGACGATTGGTTTTTGCTATCGCTATGGTGCCTTGCAAGACAGTTTCTTCTATAGCCATGCTTCGCAAGATGGGGTTGTTGTTGTTTTTGAGACCGATGCCTTCCAAGATGATTTTTTTGCAAGACAGTGCTTCTCGCAGAACGAATTACATATGTCTTGCGAGGCACCACTGTACATAGTATCGTCTCCAGCTCCCTCTAGTGGCCAGTACTGCTAGCTTCATGTTTAGAAATATATGTTGCTATGATTTTTTAAAAAAAAATATTTTTAATATTTTCAGACCATGGATAAGTGAATCATTGTATACTGATCCTGTGGATAACAGGTTTTTTTTTTTACTGTACCCTGTATTTCACCAACTGTCAATACAATGCTTTACTAATGGATAATGCAGCAGCCTGTTTTGTTAGGAAACAAAAAGTATCTCAATGTGCTGTTTTTTAAGACTAGCATTTCCAGTTCTGGAATGGACAGAGCTGTTGCCCTTTGGCCTCCAGGAGCAAAGTACCCAGAGTCGGTGTTCCTGCCTATTTGGGGCTGACAGGCACACAGCACGGAGTACAGGCCACCAGCACCGAAGGTTTGGTCGAGATCAGCAGGACATGACTTGGGAATGCCCATGTGAAACCAGACATGGAATGTGAGCCGGATTGCAGAGATTCCAGCGGTGCCCTACGCTGTCAGGACCCTGCTCTCAGAAACAGGGCAAGGAAAGGGGATTCTTTGAAGAGCGGATGACAAGGAGTGACACCAGCAAATGTCTGTGGCAGGCGATAATTGTGATTCTCAGTCTGGGGCAGAACGAAGCTCCCCGTCTCAGTGGGGAAAGCGGCCGTTTTCGCCACCCAAAAAAAGGCCCATAGAGCAAAAAAAGAGAGAGAGAGAGAGAGAGCAAAGGCCCATAGAGCAAAAAAAAAGAAAAGAGAGAGAGAGAGAGAGAGAGAGAGACTGGACTGCCTGGGTTCAGTGGGAATCACGCCCCAGAGGAGCACCAGAAAAGTTGGATCTGGGTTATCCTGAGACAGTGAACGCCCTGGCCAGTCTAAGCAGCCACTCTCTGACAGGGAGGATCGGTGAAATTCCGTCCAGTTTGCCTTCAAATAAAGATATGAATAAGGATGCAAACTTGAAGGTCATCATTCTCTGGCTATTGCACTTTTCTGAAGCACATGGAACCGTTCCCTGATCAAAAGGGGGGAAGGGGGGGAATGTACAGCCAGGATCTATACATTAAGAGAAAAGGCATATAAAAATGCCTACATTCTGGAGAAGGTCTACCAGGGAATGTAGACAGCCCTTTGGTAGCACTCTCTCTCTCTCTCTTCTACCGATCAAGGAGGCTGAGTGACCTGTCCAGATGGAGACAACTTTGGACATTTGCGCCGTCTGGGGTGGAGGAGCAAAGGAACCCTTTACGAACCGACGTCACAGAGCTGAGACAGGATAAACTTGGGAGTGGAAAAAAGAAACAGGAACGTTTAAAAAGGAAACGGAAGAGACAGAGGCATTCCATCTCCTGACCGTCAAGGCTTAAGGCGTGTGGCTCACCAAGGTCTCGGACACTGATCTCTTTTCTGCTCGGCTAACAGACCCCTTTCCCCATTACAGATGACAGAAGGCATTCCGCAAGGAATCCCTGCCTGTATAATCAAGCAGTTAGTCTTCAACGTGCTCATACGACGTTTTTGTCTTGCTTAGCCTTTCGTTTTTGCCTGATACGCTGGCACAGGCTAACACGGCTACCTCTTCTGAAACTAGTCCAAGGAAGAGCGGCAAAGAATTCAAAGGCGTGCTTTTTAATCCTATTTTAGAGGTACAGCAATGGTGCTCCCCGACGCCGTTTTTTAATTTTAATCACGGACCGCACAGCTAAGTTTTTTTTTTCAATCGCTGCTGATTAACGTCAGCGAGGGCATTATTTCTAAAACGTTCCAGTGTTTTCTTAAAAAGAAGAGGCAAAGCAGAAATGATTTATAAACGTAACAAGCAGGCACATATACAAATACAACCGGGATGAAAGAAGGTATGCTTGTAATGTGTTACAGGTATCTGGGGATAAAGAAGTGGAAATGAGATTGATTCTCACCCATTGCTGCAGATTCTCTTCCCTCCCAAATAAGCGTTGCCATAAGGAAATATCGAACTATTTGCAAATATCTTAATGGAACATTCATCCCAGTTTCCAAACCTTGCAGCCTGGGTATATTTCCTGTGCTTACCTTGCAGAGCAAAACCAGATGGGCAAGGTGCACGCAGAGGAATCGTAGAATTTCCTTCAGTGCACGGTGAACCCTCTGATCCTTAAGAACTTACATACGTGCCTCGTGTTAAGCTTAAGAGGAAGCACATGTGTGGGGAGGCGGGAGGCGGGCGTGACGGAGAGTAACACAGACTGGTTTAACTCAGATCCTTTCTGGGAAGGTGGCCTCCAGCTGCCATGGGTCGCTGGTCGGTCCCCAGTTCTGTTTTGAACACGAAACCTCTGACCCTTTTAGAAGATCGCTTCTGCCAAGCTTTTAAATTCTTTTCGGGGTGGGACTGGGAAGCATCTCACGGCAGAGGCAAAGGCTTTGCGGTCCTGCCAAGTGATTTATATGCAAGGACTCCCCTCCTGCTGGTGGATAAAACCTACCAGAGAAGAATGCCATCGGCGGGAGAGGGAGAAGTATGGAACCCAAAATCTGGTCTAGACCTAACCGTGCAGAGGTCTAAGTCCACGTTGGCTAGAATCCCCTTGTCGGGGTCAGCCTGGCCTTCAAGGCATCCTGGAGACAAGAGCAACACTCCCTGGGAGATTCCACCCCCCCTCTCCCCCCCCAAAAAAACCCACTAATATATTGAAGCTTTTGTCATTCTCAGGGTGTGTCTTATACCTTAAATCCCTAATCTGGGAAACATAAATCATGGCGGTCTTCTGAACACAAGAATTCAGGAAGCACAATTTTCCATCTGCCTTTGGGCCAAGCCAGAAGTGATGCCAAGAGATATGTGGATTAAAAAGACCTGCCATTGTGTTTTGCTAATTCGTAGCGCAGTGAGAGGGTCCCAGAAAAATAGGGGAGGAGAAACTGAGGACAGACATAGGTCATCATTTCCTTCTATGCACTTTTCCTGAAATCACACACACACACACAAACACACACACAGTGGCTAGGCCAAAATCTTTCAGGCATTGTAACAGAGCTGAAAGGAGCCTAGAAGGTCATCAAGTCCAACCCCCTGCTCAAGGCAGGAACCCAAGTCAAAGCAAACCCAAAAGATAGTGGTCCATGTTGGAGCGTTCACCACCTCCCAAGTCATTGGTTCCATTGTCGTACTGCTCTAACAGTTAAGAAGTTTTTTTTAATGGGAGATTCTTCCTATTTCACTCTATTCACAGTAATATTTAGTTGTAGTTCCAGAAAATAACTTTTCCTTGTTCCAGCCAAATCTGTACTATATATATATATATGCATGGAAGGGAAATATCGTCAAGTTCAGTGTAAACTCCAATGCTCACATTTGCAGATCTATCTTTTAAAAAATATACTGTATCTTTAAGCATTTCAAAAGGAATAAACATGACTGTTGGTCACAAAATGCTAGCGATAGTTGTAGAGGGCCCTGAAAACTGGGCTGGAGGGACACGGAATGGAGGCGACAACCTATTTGCTGGCATCCAAAGCATAGGAGATGCTTTATAAAAGGGCCATGGAAAAACAAGGTCCAGGAGGGCCCTTTCCAGCGGCAGGTTCCTGCTGATGTGAAAGAGAAAACCCAAGGCTACCGGCTGCGTAATTCGCGTGGCTTACCTTTCTGTGTTCGATTGAGGGTTGCGGGATGACCAGCTGAAATCCAAGCACCACGATGGAACCAAGAAGCCTGCAGGACGAAATCGTTTCGACTTTGAGTCTCAAGCATGAAGAAACACCACAAGCAACGTCTCAGGTTGGGTCCTATGAATGGCAACATTTAAGGAGGGCTTCTCTCCTCCACCCACCCACCCCCAACCTCACCACGAAGCAACCACAGGCTATACATCTAGGCTTCCAGATCAGAGAGGAAGCAACTTCCAGGCAAAGGGGTGGCCACCTGGGACTTTTGTTTTTGGAAGTCAACCACTAGAGGACCAACAAACCCACTCAGATGAACGCCAACCATGAATCAAATCCTTTCTGGAGTGACATCAAAGTGACGGTGAAAATTGAAGACCCTCCTGTTTGGGGCCAATTTTGTGGTTCTCCAGCCCTTCCCTGGCCCAGCCTTTTTCCAACCAAAAATAAAACAGGATCTCCATCAGTAGAAATTGACTTTATGACACTTGATCGTTGTTATCTAATTCCTTCTACATTTGTACGAATGCCTGTAAATTGGCAAGACCCAATTCTTCGGCAAATTTGTGCTCTCTTGCGTAGCGATGCATCAACCCCCCGTGCAAAGCCTGGTTTTGGGACACCCTGTGCTCGTAGGACACCGTTAACTGGGAAAAGGCCACACACTGTCTGAGCTTTTAAAAACAGCCTAAGGCTGGCCAAAGGATTAGCGACTTTGGCAACGCAGAACCAGAGGCAGGGCTAGCAAAGGGAGACATGAACCTCGATGCGGCAATATGAGGTGTTGCTAGCATGTCTCTCTTTTAATCTGTCAAACATCTGCAGGTATGCAGGTGGCCCATAAATTCACAAGGCAACTGTACTCTTTGGAGCAGTTCATTTTTAGCTTCTGTGTTCCCTCTCTTCCCATCCCTTTTACACACACACACACACACACCCCTTCCATTCATTCACTAGAAAGTTCAACATTTGTGGGAGGAAAATAAATTTGACTATGTGCAGTTCAAAGGGGGGGGGAGACCAGCACCTCTTAATCTGTTTTCGGCTGGTATTGCACATTTTTATGAATACCTTCTATGAACCCTCCGACACAAGGGTGCCATTCTGGAAAGAACAGAGGCCCTAATCTTCAAAGCCAATGGCTTGACAGCTTAAAAGTTGTCACTTCAGAGGCAGAAGGGCTTCAGATCTGAGCCATGATTCAGATTTGGGCCAGCTTATCCCGACAGTTTTCCAAAGGGAATGTTTTAATCAGGCGGCGTTACGTGTGGGGAAAGCAACCCAACCGGACGACGAAACCAGTTTCTAGATTGTCCGGCGTGTCCGTCTAGTTGACTCCAACTGCAAAACGGTTATCAACTTTCAGCTGGAAACAAAGAGATCATTTTGGCGAAAGGCTTTCCATCCTTCCTGATGAAAGCCTCCCCAGTTTGATTCAAGGCGTTGTGATTTTCTTTTAAGTTATTTTATATTATGTCAAAAGATAGTTGACTTTGGCTGAATTCGCTGCATCCTGCATGCTCTGCCATGCCTGGATTTATATATATATAAATATATATCTTTTAAATAGCTTTTTCTTCCCAACCTTACAAAAATAGATTCTTCCTATTCCACAGGGGGTTTGCTACAGGCTGGCAATCTCGAGACGCAGGAAAGCCATAAACGCAGAGCCAAGTGAAACGGAGGGGGGGAGAAGAAGAAGAAAATAAAATCAGCTCGGCATTTTGGAATGGAACGTTAGACGGTCCTGCAGCTAAGAGGGAGGATGTTCTCCCAACTGACACCAAGCGTTCCATTGAATCACTTGCATTGGTTCGCCCAAAGCATAAAGAATGGAGAAGACATTTCTTCTGGCCTATGTAGACTTTGTGTTCCATTGACAGATCTGGAAACCAGATCTACACACACACACACACACACACATACCATACACGAAAAGGTTTCATTTCTTAACATCTTTACCTAGCGAGTAGGTTCCATTGAAGGACCCCATGACCAGGCATGGGGAATTCAACAGCACGGATGATGACTGTTGTAGTTCAAGAGCAGAGCAAGATTCAACGATGGATTTATTTTCTGCACAATGAGGAGTTGGGGCTCATTCACACCACTGAAGAAACTGTGCTTCCATTCTCGACATGAAGAAAGAGGTGGACATTTGCAAACGAAACAGAAACAACAATTTGAGGCCATTTCTAACCATATAACCTCCAGGGTTATCAGCCTGATTCCCTCACAAGGACGTCACTGAACAAGGCCAATCCTTCCTTCTTTCCCTTGATGACCAAAAATGTGAGTGAAGCTGGTTCTGTGCTGCAAAATCCATTTCCCCCCCCAAAAAAAAACTGCACACGATCTATGCCCACTGGATGCTAATATCATCCCACACAGACCTGTCGGGAGATGAGTACCCGCGGTTGCTTGGGTCCGAAATTTAAAAATACCAACCCTACTAACCTTAATGAGCCTCTAAAATTGTCCAGCATGGTTCTTGACCTTCACGGCAAAGGGTCTGATCCTGAACTGATGCCTTCCAGTGTGTTGAAATTTGAGGGTGGATTATAGAAGAATCCTGGAGGAGGCAACAAGTACACACACAAAAATAGTATAGTTATTTATCACTCACTGCTTTCTTATGGAGCACTTTCCAACATGGCTCTGGAACTTAAGAAGAATTACGCTGCGGATTTTAGAAGCCATGTTCACAAATGGGAAATGCTTATCACAAAAGGCTACAAAAGCAGTGTGGGGGGAAAAGCAGCAATGCTAGCAAAAAACATCCATCCACAGTTCAGATACAAGTTTTAGGGAGGCGTAAGGCTCATTTCCAAAAGGGTGTGAGTTTTATGGCTCTCGTCTCATCTCTCTTTCAGGTTAACACCTGCCCAGAAAAGGAATTCTGAGCTTAATTGTTTCTCTGCATCATAAAATCTGCTTAGGGCCTTCAGAGGGCATATACGAAGCTCTGTGCACTTTTTTGTGGAGGCAGGCAGAAAGAAGAGACAGAAAAAGGTAGAAAAGCTCCCACTGGGAACTAAGTAGGACATACCAAACTCTAATCCAGCATGGGATCATATTTGCCTTGAACTCTTGGTAACCTGATATCTCTATCAAAGATTAGATTGTGGAGTGGGCTATCTTACAATGGAGCAGTGTGTGATTTGCCTGCCGGATTCCAGTTTTGAGTGGGGCAGTGAATCCGCTCTGGATTTTAGCTGGAAGTTTACAGATGCTATCCAGAGTGCTGAATCTACTTGAGAGGCAGAACTGAGCATCTTGGCCAGCAGCTCATGCTAAAACCTGGCACAGACTCAGAGTCCCTCTGAAACCGGGATCCCCAGCCTCAGTTCAGTCTCTGACAGCAGGGGGTGGGAAAGATCACAGTCCAAAATTTGCCTGGCCTCTTCACCGGGAATGTTTAAACCATCATTGAAAATCTTGCAGCAGAATGTAATTTCTTATCACTCGTGGAGACGTCTTTCATCAAATATGGGAATGCATGGTTCTTAAAAGTTACTTATGAATACCACAACGAGCAACAGGGAAAAGTCATTGTTACTACCCATTACAAAACTTAAACAAACAACTCATTTAATTCCTCAGCGAATTGCTCATTACTTAATATTATTTTCTTTATTTTTGATTTTTTTAAAGAAAACTTAGGATAGAGAAAAGAGCAGCAAAAATGTGGGGAAAATCTTATCACAAGACCTCTTAAAATGTTCTAAAATGCCCGTGGAAAATAAAACTTTAAAAGTAACTGGGAATGTTGTTGGATATTGTTGCATAAAATAGGAATTTGCTATCCCTTGTTATCCTTGAAATAAGAGAGCCACATGGTCTTTACACAATACAAAATGCAGGAGTGTATGTGATGCCTTTATAAACCACTACAAAAAGTATACACCATCTAGCTTTTGTAGATTAAAGACCACTGCTTCTGGATTGCACCCACATCTTGGCGATAAGGCGAAGAACTTAAAAGAGCCCTAAATGTTTATGGCGAATGGATTTGCCAGTTGTTTTCCTTGAATGGAAATCAGCAAAAATGGAGGCTGTACTGGTGGTGTGGTTTTGAAGGTATAGCTGTTGGATAATCATCAACCTCCCCCCCCCCAGTTCTTCAAACGAAGAAGTTTGGGCAATATGCATATCTGTGCATAATTGGCCATCTCATGAGAAGAGAGGATTCCCAATAATCATCAACCTTCCCCCCCCCACCAGTTCTTCAAACAAGAAGTTTGGGCATTATGCATATCCATGCATAATTATTATCACTTTCATACCTTCATCTTTGTTTATTGCATTTGTTCAACCCTCTCGGTGTTGCACGGATCAACTAAAAATGGAGATAATAGAACACAAACCCAGGACACTGGTCAAATGCAGCGCAGCAGCTAAAATTCCCACCTACTGAGATGACAGCATCTGTCTGGTCCATGGGGTCATGAAGAGTCGGACACAACTAAATGACTAAACGAACGAATTATCGCTTTCATACCTTCATCTTTGTTTATTGCATTTCTTCAACCCTCTCGGTGTTGCACGGATCAACTAAAAATGGAGATAATAGAACACAAACCCAGGACACTGGTCAAATGCAGCGCAGCAGCTAAAATTCCCACCTACTGAGATGACAGCATCTGGCTTCGTTTCACTTTAAGACGTGCTCTGCCTCTCCTACCTCCCTGGATTTGTGTCTGGCTGTTTACAGCCAGCAAACAATTCTAATCGCAAAGCACTCAAGTGAAATGGTTACAGCAGGGCTCCTCAGAGATAAGACATGACCGGCTTCAGTTCCCCCAATCAGATAGCAAAAAAGAAGGCTGGAGAAAGTGAGAGCTTATCTTCCAAGCCACCCTGCACCGCTCATCAAAGCTTAAAAAGAACAGTGCAACCTATTTATCCTAGAAACTTGACATTATCCGCTAGACCAGGCTAGATTTCCATTATCTGCCCAAGAAAATAGCTTGCAAGTTAACTTGATTTGAACAGCGTTGCACTGGCTGCTTCCTTTCAATACTTAAAGAGCGATGACAAACGATCCTCAAAAATAGCGCGCACGGCAACAATTACTGGAACACGAAGCTTTGCCAGATCCTGTAACAATGAATTACTGTCTCTCTTTTTCAAACACTGATGTACAGGGTGGAACACATTTCCTTTGAAAGGTTACGCTTGTGAACTCTCGAAAGAAGTTTACGAGAAAGACAGGGCTATGTTTTCAAGAGAGAAAGGGTTAACTTTGAAAAGTTGTTTCCGAACTTTGGAAGGAAGTTTTCAAAACAGTAATACTGCCTAATCGAACAGTGTAATCATTACTCTGTGTTTCCCCCTTAATTTCTTGGACCTACGTCCGTGTAAAGGGGCACAGGATCATCACTTAAACAAGCTTCCCTCTGCTTGCTTAATATGAAACAGATGAGGAAAGAAGCTGACAGCTAACTTTGATAGTAAGACATCTTTTGTAGGATTCCAGCGGCATCCATGAGGTCCTCCATGTACCATGACATGCCATTTTAAAGCTCTACTACCCTTCCATTTCTTTCTTTTAATCTGCAGTAGGGAGGTGCATTGTCCTCCCGACCATGTCCATGCCTCACGGATGGGTGCCCGGCCCTTTATGTCCTTCTCTGTTGCTGCCAGCGAAGCCTCTTCCCTGTCTTGCTTTTCCTTTCTCCACTTCTCAGGATGACCCGTGAATTTAACGGAAGAGATCCAGAAAAGGGTCTCCGCCTCCAGGATCTCTGCTCAAACCCCCCCTCCCCAGACAAACAAACATGCCCTTGATGTGGCCTGTATTCATATATTTGTTGGGGGGTGGGAAACAACCACGCACAACCACAACCTACATCCACACAAAAAAACTTAAACATGTTAACAAAACAAAACAAAAAAAACTAACCCTGTCTAAGACTTTTCAACCTGGAGCAGTTCCTCAAGATTTATATCCCAAACTCACCCAAGCGCAGACTTACGTCTGTTCTATGTAATCTATTTTGCCTTGTTGACTTAAATCTATGGCAAGCCAAACTAAATTTCCCTTCGTATTTGTCTTCCTGCTTAGCATGCGAGCCTTTGCCAGCTGCTACTGACAATTTTCGTGGAAGTAGCCGGGGGAACTTTGGAGCTGGGGGTGGGGTGGGGGTTTCATTCAAGAAAATATTTCCCATTGATTTATAACCTTGTCCTTTGGCCAGGGGTGCCAAGAAAATACCGTATCAGAAAGCTGAAAATAAGTTGCTTCCTTCTGAATGAGGCTTTCTATGTGCGTGTTTTAAAGCAAATGACCCATGAATATTTGCACTCACATGTGAATGTTAATACAGTAGTGCTGGATTTACACACACCCTCAGCAAACTATATCTTAGGGCTTCAGATTATAATGAGCCTCTAAATAAAAAAACCAAAACAACTCCCAACTTTTAGAAAAATGACCAAATGCTTTAGGAAAAAAACCTCAATTTTTAAGTTTTACATAATACAGTGGTGCCCCGCATGACGATGATTCTTAGGTTCAGAATGAAACTGCTGACTGGCTCACATGGCAATCACACAAAATCTGTAAAACAAAACAGGGGTTTTTCACCCTTACTTTTCAAGGAGTTCCTGGAATTAGCTAACATGTCCAAAGGAAGATAGCTGGGGAAAGAGTAAAACAAAAATATCCTTGGGGAAAAATATTATTTGCATATTTTTCCAAGAAAAGCATCGTTGGGAAGATGCCAGGATCTATCAACAAAACTTTGCGAACAAAGGCCGTGTGTGTGTGTGTGTGTGTGTGTGTGTGTGTGAGAGAGAGAGAGAGAGAGAGAGAACCTAACACAGGGAGAGGGGGAGAGAGGGAGAAAGAGGTTGGGAGTACAGTATTTCAATCTTGTTCCACATAGATCAGACGCACGGGGCAGCTGCTTTGCCACTCACCTGGAACCGCCGGGCCTTGCTAATCCGCAGATCTGCGCCCAGATTCCTCCTTGGCAGCAAAACCTGGAACTTGTTACAGGTAACTTTGCAACTTGTAACTTGCTAGTTGCAAGTTCTGGTTTTGGAATGACGGTCACACTTGCTTGGGCAGAAAAGGCGCATGTCCTTTTGCTTTGACACAGAGCACGCCATCCTGTTGCAGCAGGCGACCTTCTTAAGAGAGACAATTCTCTTGCTGGCATGTCTTTGATCGAGAAGAGAGGTGAGGCAAGGAAGGTGGCAGAATCGCCAGCCTGCTGGGTTAGAATTTGAGAGAGGGGGATGTAAAACTAATTGCTAAGCCCCACGTGCTGAATAGTAAGTTAAAACACTCAACAAGTGATTTTAGGTCACAGGTTATGAAGGTGGAGAATCTGGGGCTTATGGGGCTCCAAATCCCATCAGCTCTGACAACACTGCCCGTGGCTGTTGATGATGGATGTTGTAGTTCAAGAGCAGGACAAGGTTCCAGGATGGATTGACTTTCTGGACAACGATGAGTAGGATTCTTTCACACTGCTGGAGAAATTTTTGACCATTTGCCCAGTGCCCGCCCAAACCGAGGTCCCGCCACCCTCTCAGGCAGGTTTGGCCAGGGTGCAGAGGGTC